AAGTATGGTCTGACACATCACGAGATTCTCATGCTTCCTGATCCTGAGAAGGCATTCATCGTGACCACTGACACAAGCCAATATGTTATTGGCGCAGTGCTGGCTCAGCAGGAATGGAAGAAGTTAAGGCAAATCGAGTACATGAGCAAGAAAATGCCATCAAAGAAGTTGGCAAAATCCACCTATGAAAGGGAACCCTGCCCTTTACAAGGCTCTTGTCCACTGGAGGCACTATCTGTTGGGGATGTTCTTCTATTTGAGGACCGACCATCAAAAACTCAAGTGGATCAAGACGCAGCCTGTACTTTTCGACGCACTCAAGGATTAAAGTCATTGATTAGTATGACTTGAAGCTAGACTATGTGAAGGGAGAGTATAATAAGGTTGCTGATGCGCTGTCGCATAGGGCAGACTGCCTAGGTGCATTGATAATTGAGTTTGGCTTGTCAGACAGTGTAACTCGATCCTTGGTTGACGCCTACCAGGAAGACCCCATCATTGTGGACATGATACGCAAACTTGAGGCCCAAGACAAGGCCACATCTGACGAGTTTGTAATGGTGGATGGGCTGCTCTTTCTTTAAAAGGCAGGGTTTAAAAGACTGTGTGCCCTCCAGTGAGTCTTTGCGTAGTTTATTTTAGGAGAATGTCATGATGCAACAGGACATTTCGGATATAAGAAGACTAGTGCTAACTTTGTGCAGCATTTTTGGTGGCGTGGTATGCTTGACGATGCAAGGAAGTACGCCCAGACTTGTGAAGTCTGTCGGCGGGATAAGCTGCGAAGTGAAGCACTGCTTGGGTTACTCAAACCCTTGCCCATTCCCGCTGGTCCGGGACAGAGCGTTTCCATGGACTTCATGGACACTCTCATGACCAGCAGGTGTGGCAAAAGGCACATTTTCGTCAGTGGACAGGTTTACTGAGTACGCTACACTAATCGGCATGCCTGAGCCTGCAAAGAATGAGGACGTCATAAAGTTATTCATGGATAACTGGGTGCGTGGTCTTGGACTGCCCAAGATGATAGTAAGCGATAGGGATGTCTGTTTCACCAGTGAACTGCGGAAAAAGACTGCTGAACAGCTGGGCAGTCAACTCCAAATGACTTCGGGAAATCACCCCGAAGCCAACGGACAGGCGGAACAAATGAACCGTGTGGTGCAGCATCTGCTGAGGCACTACATCAAGCCCAGCCATGATGACTGGGATGAGAAGTTGGCCCTCATCGCCAGCCTCTAAAACAACACTGTACACAGCACCACCAGTGTCAGCCCTAATGAGCTGCATTTGGGGTGGAAACCTAGATCTGCACTAGACTTCCTCCTTCCTGAAAAATGACCAGCTGCAACACCTGGAACCATGCAGTTTCGTGTCCATTATGTGAAGCTGTTGCAGCAGGCTGTCGAGCATATTAGAAAATCTCAGGAGACAATGATTGCCTCTGTGAGCAAGCACAGACAACAGTCCACATTTCAGGTAGGGGAATACTGTCTGGGTAAAGGCTCGCGGATTATACAGGAATTCAGCATCTGTAGAAAGCTAATGCCTCAGTAATTCGGCCCTTGGGAAGTCGTGTACATCATGGGTAATGATCTGGATGGACCCTCTCATGTTATTAGAATCCCTGGACATCTGTGCACTTACCCTGTGTTTCATGCTCCCAAGCTTGCACCTTCCCCTGAGACTGACCAGTTCCCATCAAGGCAAGGGAAGACCGCCGAAACCTATGAGGGTGTACCTGGTCAGATTCAGACATCATACAGATCCAAAATAAGATCGTTGGTTCACAGGAGAGGAACTCGTCAGAACAGCACCTCAGATTGTGGCAGAGTATGAATGGAAGTTGAAGGGGAAAGCACCTGCGTAGAAGCATCTGAGCGGACTTTTGAAGCTAAGGACTCCTTCAGACAGTTGCAGTACGCTAGATGGACTGCGAGGATTGAGCTCTCTCAAGGCCCTTCTCGGGCACACAGATGTTCTGGGCGCAGGCCCCCAGCAAGCCCCGTGCCCACCCTCAGTGAAGGCGGGCCTGCAGATCTACGTGAGGCCTATTTTCGCCAGTTTTTGTATGTGGGGTACCAGACAGTTGAAGCACGGCAGTTGGTTACAGAGCAGCATGAGCCTTCCCTGGCTCGTTCCAGAAGCAGCAGCTGCGTCGTACCGTTGAGCCCAAGGCTCGTTTGGTTGAGGCCGTGGGCACACTCATTCAGAGGCCGACAAGTCACGTAGCGGTCGCGGACCAATGAGAAAGAAGCTTCCTCGTCACACACATGCCTCGAGCCAATGGGTTTGCGCTGAACACTTGTAGCCTTGTAGGCTACCTGGATGTGCCTAACTGCACGGGGCCCAGGCCAGTATCTGAAACTGGGCCTGGGCGAAGATACTGAGGCCCGACTGGAAGCTACTGGAAACTCGCCCAGCCAGGCCCAAGGCATGACAAGCAGGGCTCACTTTCCATAAAGGAAAGTGACCACATCAGCCAGGGATATTTTGGCCTGGCGAGGCATAGCAGCCACGCTTCTGCATTGCCTGGAGAAGCTGTGCTAGCATAAGCCGGTCAGAGGTGCGCACAGGCGCTAAGAGGTGAGAGGGGCGCTGAGGTGGCAGCAGGTGCATGGTGGCCATAGCCGGGCTGCTGGGCGCAAGGCGGGTGACGGGCGATGGTGGTCTTCGGGTAGGAGGCACATACAGTGGGGTGTCAGGGGTCATGAGGGGAGATGTGAGACACGTACTTGATGTATGCTGGCGGTCTGCATTGGCGTTGATGTCAAGTACATTGGTCTTCAACTTCGGTGTGTTCTCTCTGCTTGAACGTAGATAGGATAGATAGGCTGAGTAGTGTAGGCTGGGCGCTGGGCGAAGCGACATTGGATACTATGTTGGTGTGGCCAGAGAGCATCGGCATTGACATTTGAGTTGATTGTATTGCTCTTATTTGGATGGTATCTTGGTGCATTGAGCTCTCTGTGCAATAACCCGTTCATTATGCCTCGTTGAATGGCCCAGGGCCTGAGCGCCCGACAGTTGATTTCGGTCAACTGCCTGAGGCCCAACAGTCGAAGTCAATACGGACCCAGCCCAGTCCGCCAGTCAGACACACTCTCTTGTTTGTATGCAGGTACCAAGACAGCATCAGGACCAAGTGGGAGTCTGCAACTGTACGCAATTCAGGCCCTCGGCTGTGAGTCAATCTGAGGCACCGTGGGTGGGAGACCTGAGGCCAGTCAGCCTTGTCAAACATTACATAAGGCTTGGTCTCCAGGGAGTCAACATTCAGTCTTGCTATGCTGCCTTGACGCTGGCTTGACGCTAGCTGGACGCTGGCTGGACACTGGCTTGATGCTGGCTAAGCGCTGGCACTGTGGACGACGACGCGGGACTGAGGCAGCATGCTGGCGCCTTCTCTGCTGAGCGCCAGCCTATGCTGATGTGGCGCATGCCACCTGTCTTCATTGCTGATGTGGTGCATGCCACCTGTCTCCATTGCTGATGTGGCGCATGCCACCTGTCTTCATCCCTGATGTGGCATTGGCCACGCTGTCTACACTGGGTGATTGGTCGCGACAAGGAGGGAGATCGGGATCTGTGGATGCTTGATCGGGATCGGGATACTTACCTGAGGTTGACGTCAATACCGTGCGCTGCTGATTGTCTCCATCGTCTTCACAAGGGAACAGTGCCACGTGGGACTTCGATGTGATCAGAACCTATTAGACTCGTTACTGGATACTGATTGATGACGTGGAGGTGAAGGGAAGCCTGGAGAAGGAGTGGGAATTGTTGGGCTACTCTCGTGGTGGTCATTGTGGTCATTGATGGTCATTATATCTTCCACCCTCTCATCTGTCTAGTCCCCCTCCATTCTCTTCGTCTATTGGGAACGAGACATTTTATCAGAGGTCACGGTCACATTCATGATTATTGGAGACATTCTCCAGATCTGAGTTGTCTTGCATTTCGACGTCTGACGAGTATCTTCCAGTCTGGGTTCATTACATCTGCTTGGTACATGACTATCTGACATTGTCCGGATCTGAGTTGTCTTGCATTTCGACGTCTGACGAGTATCTTCCAGTCTGGGTTCATTACATCTGGTTGGTACATGACTATCTAAACTTCAGCGTGATTTTGCAATCTGGATTTCTGTCTATCGCTCCCACTCATATTCCTTGCAAAGAGCATAGACAAAATTAAAGCGGAAGATCTGAAGCAAAATGTACAGAGTATACCCCCCTTCTTACTCTGCCTCCTTCCATAATGTGCAAGTGTGCCGTTGTGGCACGCAGGGATGTGGGCAGCTGCCGCTCAACCACAATCAATGTTTCCTGTCTTGTGTGTGAGAGCCACAGTAAAAACGGAGCTGCAAGAAAAAATCGAATGGGTACCCCAATGAAAGCCAAAGCAAAGATAGTCAAGAAAGGGATCTATTCCACTCCATGTTCTTGTAGAGACGTAAAACTGTTTCATTGTCTGCAACAGAGGTAAAGCTGCATCGATTTTGGATCTACTCATCTGGGTAGAGCAGCTGCTGTTCTGGTGAAAATCTATAGAACACACACACACACATTGGATCTACTCATGTGGGTGGAACAGGGGCAGTTGTGGTGAAAATCTACAGCAAACACACACAGAGGAAAGGGGAGAGAGATGGATAGATAGATAGATAGATAGATAGATAGATAGATAGATAGATAGATAGATAGATAGAGATAGATAGATAGATAGATAGATAGATAGATAGATAGATAGATAGAGAGAGAGAGAGAGAGAGAGAGAGAGAGAGAGAGGCCAATGATTTTGGCACCGTGAAGGTAAAAAAGACTTGGAATCTGAAAATCTGGTTTATAATTTGGTGTTGAAGAAATCATGAAGGATTGGGGACATGCTTATGGCTTATATGTATAGCTACTATGGCTACATGTGGATGGTTATGGTCCCTGGTTAACAAGTTGATGGGACTGACACTTGCATGCTTTTGTCTTTGAACACTACGGCAGATGAAACCGCGGACAAAGGATGGAATGTTTGTGAAAATGGAAATGACATCCTTCTGCGCTAAGCACAGGTGAGTCCTGTGGTCTTCTTTTCCTGCAACAGCAGCGCCTTTCCAGCTGATGTCCATATGCGTTCATCGTTTCGAATCTATCCCCTATGCTATGTTTTCTCTGTCCTGTCTATATGTAAATCTCGTATGTTGCGAGAGCTAAACAAGTGAAGGTGACAATCAATAACATCCATGAGGCATGAGCACCTTTGCTTTGGATCCACGTAGTCCCACTTGGTGTCCCGGCTAGGCCACTTGGTGTCGCGGTCCTGCTTGGTGTCCCGGCTGGTCCTTTGTGGTCACAGGAATGTGTGTGTGTGTGTGTATGTGTGTGTTTGTGTGTGTGTGTG